GACTGCAACTTGTTGACCGATTGATGTTTAATCCACGTCCCTGTGACGGCCAAGCAGTTTGAATGCTACGGCGTCAATATCTTTTCGACAACAAAATACGCTCAAATAGGCCTCGCAGAAAATCTATGGTGGGAGCTTCTCCCTTACAACATACACATGCATGTCGTATGCCCGAGTTTCGTAGACACCCCCATGCTCCAAGGTACTTTTCTAGTTAGTTGCTATGCCTGGCCAGATTCTGAAGTGGCTTCCATAGCTGTGTTGTAATGCTAACCCCATGTCAGTTGGAGAAGTAAACACGGAGCTAGCAAAGGTCTCTTGAGAATTGAATTTTTTCAACCCAGATTATGTTGCCACAGCAAACCATGTGGCAAAGTGTACCTAGGCGGGCGTACTAATGGGCAGATTCTTAATAACCACCGGCTCTAACGACTCAGGAAGTAGGGACCTCCACCCCTTCCTCAACTTTTCTCCCCTCATAAAACCACTCTCCTGCTGCACATTACATTGCAAGCATCGAGCATCATCAAGTTGGATGATCGCCCTTAAATTAAAGAAGAAGAAGAAGAAGAAGAAGAAACAGAAAAGGATTTGGTCATTAACACTATTCAGCACCATGTTGGTGAGAGGGTTGCGAGGGCTTTTTTAGCCTTGCAAAAACAAATTCCCTTCACCATTTAAAGGTGTGTCTTCGGAGAGATTGTTGGTCCAACTGAGTCAACAGAAAGTCAGCACCTATATGCCTGTATGCATGTATCTGAATTGATTTGTAGATGATTTTCTTCAATACTTTTGATTGGATACTTTGAGATTATTTGAAATAGATAAAGTTCATTGATACACAAATTAGATTGATTTCCCCCAAAGAGAACAAATGACATTGATCATCTGGGAGGGAGGGGGATCTCTTATAGTTCTTCCTATTGATGGTTGGTGAGGTTAGTAGTTTGATTGGAGGGTTGGGCTCTAAGAATAGTGACAATAATTCAAAGTTAATGTCCAGTTCTGCATTGTTTTTGCACTTGTTTTGACTGCCTTTTGCTTTGTCATGAACTTTTCCAATAGCATTCTGAAAACACACTCCTACCTCATAATATGTTTCAGCCTTTTCTCTCTTTTTAATTTTTTTTTTTATGATGTTATTCTACAAAGCCCAAATTACAACAACAATTGATTCTACCATTACAACTATTCTACGCCATGTTATTTGTTTTTAATGCCACCAAAAAATTTACTTCAAATTAAAAAAAAAAATAATCAAATGTAAGCACCTATACATATATATAAGTGATGATGATGATGATTTCAATCTGATTAAAAAGTGAAAAAAGAGGGAGAAGAAGAGATTACCTTGAAATAGAAGCCAATTCCACAAGTTCTTCTAACAAAATGTAAATCTCTCAATGCAAATTCTATTTTGTGGTGATTAATGTGGTGTGCAAGTCAAGAATTTTGTTTGCTTATCAATTTATCTATTTAAATTTTTGTAAAAGAACTAAATAAACAAAAAGAAGTAGTAGTGAGGTATTAATGTGGCAAAGAAATGGAGGCAGCTACAAAGGAAGTAAATAGCAGCTTGCAAACTGATGGCACTAGATTTGCAAGTAGTAAATGAGGGATAGTTGTGTAGACCAAATATCTTCCTCCAACCATTCAAATTTTTTGGGTATATGTTATCTTTTGCAGACCCCTTTTGGATACCATTTATACATTATAACAAAGAAAGAACTAATTAATAAGCCTTAAGAGGCTCATTCACTCATTATAAACTTAACTTATTGAATTGTGATTGATGCTATTGTTTTTTTTTGATAACACGAAATTTTATCTTTGGTTAAAATAAACCAAATGGCACATACTTAAATATACACATTTTGAAGAAAGAAACCAAAGTGGTTGTTAATATAATTAATAAAGTTTAGCTTTACATGTATAAGTAAATATCTATGTCATTCATGAAACATAACTAAAATCAATGAATTTTATTTTGACATCCAATATTTGTCTTATAAGAAGCTTAACTAGTTGATAAAAAGAACTTCTTTGAGAGTATTATATATTTATTATCTATATTATATATAATAATGAAAAAATAAAATAAATAATATCTTCTTATAATATACAAAAATTTAGTCATCTTTACAAGCTTTGAAGATTTTCACACTAAGGATAAAAAATAAACAAAAAATATTATACTGTATGTATGTATATATATATATATATATATGATTGTTCTAATTTAAATATACATTGTTTTTTTTTAGAAAATTGATATTTCTACCCCACTTTTTTGTTATTTCCATTCCATTTCTCTTTAATGCTCGAAAGATATATTATATATGACTATATTATAGCAGATATTATACTATGTATTACAGTGGGTATATTACATAGCACAACATATTGAATATATTACATGTGACTATGCACTATTGCTTGTTAATTTAGCATATACAAAAGTAGAATAAGTCATCATCCTTCTTTATACATAGATATTGAATGGAAGAGTATTGCATCTCGTTTTACTCTTGTCCATATAAAACTCACCTTTTGCTCCTTAATATTTGTTAGCATGATGCTGGTAGAATGTAATGCATCATATTTGTGCTTTTTGTAGTCTATTCTATTGTAGTTGCCACAATGCTACACCATTTTTGTTGCATGTACAAAGGCAGAAGGGTCTTGCTCTGTTAAATTTTTTAGTCATTTTTTTGCACCAATAAATTGGCCTTTTGGCAATACAACTTGTCGATTACAAATATTCAAGATTTTTTGATGGTCATGTTTGTGAATTGTTCTTGTATCATAGCTTATTGTAACATACTCAAGGTTGGATATTATTCCTCCAGCATGCGCAATTGCTCCTTGCATGCTTTGAAAGCTAGCAATTGCTTATTTTTTGCTTGTTGTGACAACGTCTTTTTTTGAGTTGGCCTCACAATGTATAAATGCCAATGAATATGAATAAAATCAAGGATGATAGCACCTCCATTGAAGGTTGCACGTTCATATGCGTAAGGAAGATCCATGGTTTGTTGAAAGATTCTTCTATATAAAGAAAATAGATGACTACCAATCAAATATTTTACCTAATCTTTAATCTTTTGCAATGCAAATATTATGACATGACCAACCAATGCTAAAAGGCTATGCATCTATAAATCATGTGACATGTGGATGCATTCATTGGAGATTGCTACTACAAATTCTATCGCTTGTGAAGTCAAGATCTAGGCAATCCATTCTTTGACAACTTTCATATCTCTAGTTGAAACTTGAAGATATTTTTTCGAAGGAGTATACAAATCCTCAGCAGTTGAAGTGATTGTATTAAAAAAATTCAGTGATTTTGAAGTCCATGTACTGACAAAGTGGTCCTTGTAGAGCATCCATGTATTGTCTAGGTATAGAATTAGCTTGCTTATATCTCCGTACATAGATACCACAGTATCCCATTGAGCATCAAATAATACTATAATGTTGCACTGACAGATTGTGGTCCACGCCTTCAAAAATTTGTCTAAATCTTCTTGGTCTATAAAATATTTTTTATAATTGGCTAGGATATTTTTGTTGATATGCCAACGGCATAAGAGATTTTTAGCTAATAGAAACAATTATTTAACGCTCAATATTAAGGCAAGATCATGATTGGTTATGATTGCACTCAGTATATTTCAATCATATGACATGACATTCTGTATTTGATGCAACATCCAAGTGTAATCAATTGTCTCCTCCTTTGTTAGAAAGATAAACGAGGAAAAGAAGTTAGTGTTTTGTCTAATCCAAGCAATTGCTATTAAGAGCGACATCTTAAAAAGAATAGTTTGGTATGTGTAGTAAAGTACCAAGATATTAGGGTATTACTTGGTCATTGCAATTAATTATAGATGCGCAAAAAAGAAGTGTGTCACATGTCCTTTACCATCACATTGCTCTCAACATTCCTATGTGCTATCCTCAAGGGTGTCCATCAATGCTTTAATGGCCAATTGTTCATAAGGAATGCATGTCTCTGCATTATAGAATGTACATGAAGTTGCAAGAAATGAACGCTTTTGCTAGCAGAGCATTGTAAGTTCTTGGCAAGCTTGGATGCCTACAGACATAAGTTTTTCAACATTCTCTTTATCTTTTGTACTAAATTTTTAATGCAAGCCAAGATGTCCTGCCATATCTATAGATGGCTTGTGGTTGTGCATGTTTGGCATATTTCTTGTGACAAGCATCCATTGGTCATCTAAATGTCGAGTTTGAGCTCAAATTTGCTAGGTGCATTTGACTAAGTGCATGCTAATTAGATATTTGTGGTCTTCAATATTAAAATTTAGACTGTTGTAATATCCATTACTCCAATCACATCTTAGAAAAATATGTGGCTTGTTATTTGAGTACAAGATCGAGATACCAAAGCCTTGTTGTGCACATTAATTATGCACATAGGTGATCAATTCGTTGTAAATTTTAAACATCTTATTGGTGTCCAACTTCAACAATAATTTGACAAAATAACAAAGATAGATAAGTGAATTGATATATGAATTGCTTTTATTTAATACTTGTTTAGGATATTGACAATGTCATGACTTATTTATACTATAAGATGTTCCATAGGAAATGCCACCATCTCATCACAACTTTCAAACATCTCATTATTGCTAATGTCAGAGCATTGAAGGTGTCCATCAATGCTTCAACTTTATATTCAGATCTGGTTCATGGTTTCTAAAATTTTATTGCCAATATTTATTTTTATATTATAAATATCCCGCAGCTCAAGCCTGGGCAAGGCAACCTGAGCAGGGTCTACAAAAGGGCGGACAGAACTGAGGTCTATGGCATTTTGGATGACATTCATCCACAAGGAGCCTGGTCCAGATTCTATTTCTGCGTGGTCAAGTTCAGCAGAACGGTAGGATAATACACATTCATTTATTAATGACCATTGGTTGTAGAATAGCACATCAACTCCAAAGGACTTTAATATTTTAAGTATTCCACAGCTTTTGCAGAAGAAGGTCTCGTCATATGCAATGTGCACAATCCGTGCCATTGCAGCCAGTTAGCCTTACGCATTCCATCGAAGACTTGCTTGCTCACTTGTACGGAACATTTGGCCTGAAGGTTGAGTGATGGGTCCCTGAGACTTTGAGAACCAGTACCATTTTCTGCTAGGTTTTGTAGCAATCATGCAGAACGTTTGGGTGTGTGACGTGTGGTGGTGGGTTCCGTAAGTTTAGAAGAAACACTTGCAACCAATGTCAGCTTTAAAAGAGTTCGATTGATCCTGTTCGGTGATTCACAGTGTGGGCATCTACAGTTGGAACTTTTGAGTCTGCTGAATCTACGTTCAGTCGACCCCGGAAACCCCTTTGCTCGACAAAGGCTCTCTAGTCTCTCTTTATCTCTCACCCTCCCTCTCTCTCGCTTTCTCTCGCTCACCCTCGCTTTCTCTCACTCACCCTCGCTTTCTCACTCAGCCTCGCTCTCTCTTGCGCTCTGGCTCTGTTTGCTGCGGTGCGGAGCAGGGGTGGTGGCGGAGGTTCAGTTCCAGCTTGTTTTTCTTCACGCTTTTGATTCTTTTCCGTCGGTGCCGGTACTAGTACTCGACTTCCTGGTTGTGTCTATCTTAGTTTTTTTCCTGGATCTGATTTTCGGAGCTCCGTTGTCCTGGTGTGTTGCGGCTGGGGCACCATCGTGGTTCATGCTGCGGTGGAGCTACAACTTTGTCGAATTCTTTGCTTCCTCGTTGTTTTGTGGTGCCTCTGCTTCCTGTTTTTTTTTATCATATCCTTAAGATTGTTTAGAAGCTAGTGATCGTGATCGACTTGAGGGTATAGGATACTGATCTACTGTTCATGTATAGGTTCATGAAGTTATCGTGTCCTTGGCTACGTCGTGTGGATGGCAACACTGTCTGAAAGCACAGATTTACCAGTGCATGCAAGGGTTCGGAAATCCTATGAGGTGAAAATGGCTGGTGTACATCAGTGTATACGGAAGCAATGACTTCTGAAAGTTCTGCAAGGATACCTGCCATGACGTGTAAGTGTTGAAGTCTAAGTTTGACGACAGCATCCTTATCTGGAAGGACAAGAATTGTTACATTTGAGCCTTCCTATTAATGCAGTAGGGATCCCTCCACCACGGCGCAGGAGTAGGCAGAATCTATTCCTTCAAGCAAGCGCGCTGTGAGGGAGGCAATCGGGGATTCTGTCCTGGGTCATGGCTACTCTAGAAACCTCTACGGTGTTTATCTGATCTTTCGAACCAGGGAAGAAAACATAACTCACTATTTTTTTTTTTTTTTTTTACTTGCAGAAATCTTCAGGGGTGAATCGTGAAGGTTTCTCACCTCATTAAGAAACACTAGATCCAGGGTTCTGTTGTTCTACTCGGCTGCAACTGGCACAACTGAAAAATGTGTCGTTAAAATCGTCAAAATGGGCGCTTCAACGAGAAACTTGTCACCAAGTGTGGAATAGACTGGAGGTTAGGCTGCTCACTAGCTTCAAAGCGACTGGCCGCTGCAGTTGCTCCAGTTGGCTCGTCTTCGACAGGCTTCATACTTTGGTAAGAAAACTCAGAGCTAATGAAGTTGGAGAGGATGAACTGTTTATGCTGGATGAAGCCAGGTTAAGTTGGATGAATAACTGAGATTGGCTAACTTACGATTTGGATGAAACTTTATTTATGGATGAAATATGATGAACAGAAAAAATTGCCAATATTTTACATATAATAAAATAAGATAAATTAGAAGAAAATAATATGAATCAAAATAACATTTATGAAATAAATAATAATATTCTATAAAAAAAATAAAGCATACTTACAAAAAAATCAGAATCAAATGAAGAAACAATAAAAAATAGTGAAATAAGTAATGATTAAGTATGTTGATGAGAATGAATGTAATGTAATACGATTGATAGTTAATTGTTGAATTGCAAGATTATATTATATTTGTGTGACTTTGTAATTATCTCCATATTAGATGAATGAATTAATAAATATCCGTAGATATATATATATATATATATATATATATATATATTTGAAATGTTGTATTATGTAAAGGAGGGATGTGAACGAAATTAAAATTGTTTGTATGTTTTAGTAATTGTATTTGGATCAAATTATTTATAACATGGAATTCTTGTTGGATATGTGAATTTTTGGGAATAGGATTCAAAGATATTCAATACAAAAAAAAAATATATATATATATATATATATATATATTTAATGCAAGTTAATATAAGAAACTATTGTTTTATTAGTAATAAGATGGAAAGAAGTATAAGAAATTGTTGGATTTAATTTCCACATCTTCTAATTATTATTGGAAGACTTATTTTGAATTGTATTCGAAGGTAAAGGTAGTGGTATTAAATTGCTTAAGAGATTGATATGAGGTTGTATTGATCTAAAGGACAATTAAAGAAATGTTCAAAGTTTTCTTGAAATGGAAGTAATTAGTTTATTTTAAGTATTAATATAACCATTAATAGAATATATATTGATGAATTTTGATTAATTTCAAGTAAAACTAATATTAGTTTGATTATGTGATTTAGATTCGACTTAAAATACTTCTTAATATTTCATCTTGGTTTATCTTTTAAATTCATTTACAAGGTTGTTATCAATGGCTTGGAGGTTGGTATTGGATTTTTGGATTCAAAGTTTTATAAAAAAATATTGAAGATATTGAGACTATATTAAGCAAGCAAGATACCAATGAATATACATGGAAAGAATATACAATTTGAATTGGAAGAATGCAAGTATTGTTGGAGAAAGAAGATCACTTGAACAAAAAGTAAGTTACAAATTATACAAGAAAATTTCTTGTATCATGAAGGTCTTTGAGCAAGTAATGACTTACAACAATAATAGCATTCAAAATGGACTATTATTATATGAATTATTTTTTATGGTATCAAAAGCTGAATCATTGATAAAAAGTTATAGAGATGAAAATTGGAATCAACTGGCTATATCCCAATTCAAGAACAAAGAGAGTTTTAGAAAAATTCTTTGGAATTTGAAGTGTTGTTATGATGTGACAAGTAAAGAGCTTAGAATGCAAAATTGGAAGACAATTGAAGAGACCACACTTATTACCTTTGATGATTCAATCTTTAATGAAGTGGAAGGTGATAATGAAGATCTTTATATGAAGTTGGTCTTCGCAAGTGGAGATGAGAATGATGAATATTGCAAATTAGCAAAGAATCTATTACAAAGGTTGGAAGACATACAATGCATTGAAGGCGGAGAATTGGATGGTATAAAGTTATTTTCAAATCCAAAAAATATTGAAATCATGGAATGCATAGGTGAAGGAGGTTTTGGAAAAGTTTATAAAGCAAAGTGGTGGGGGCTTTTATGTACAGTAAAAGAAATGCAAGTTGGTTATAAGAAGTATTTTGTTATAGAAGGAAGCATTTTAGCAAGCCTAAGCCATCTCAATTTGATTAAGTATTATTTTGCAATGAAAAATGATGATAGTGGTGATGGTCAATTTGATCCTACAAAAAAAAACAAAAAAAAGTTTATCTTTGGAAATAGAGTTGATGCACACAAGTTTAGAAAAATTGTTAGAAGAAAAAGTAAAAAGATCATATCTTTTTCTTATCAATATTATATATCAAATTACAAGAGGAATGTGCTACTTGCATGATATGCACATTGCACATTGAGATTTGAAACCAGACAACATCTTATTAAATGTTGTAAAAAAAGAAAAAATGAATGGGACAACCAAATATGTGGATGTGAAATTAATTGATTTTGGAATGTCTAAGGTTGATATTGGAAGCAATCCAAAATCTACAAATAATGATTATCTTTATGGTACCATAAAATACATGGCTCCTGAAGTATTAAGAAATAAATTGGAATCAACGAAGTTGTATCCATTTGAAGCAAATGTGTATTCATTTGCAATGATATCTTCTAAGATTATTTCAAATAAAGATTTATTTTGTATTGTGAAGACAAGTAGAGAGGTATTAGAAAGAATAAAGAATGGTGAAAGATCTAAGTTGCCTTCTAATTGCAATGAACCAACAAATCTCATTGAAGAATGTTGGAAGTGGAATCCTTAGCAACGACCAAAATTTGCAAGTATTTGTAAAAGATTGATGAATTTGAAGAAAAAGTTTTTATTAGAAAGTGATGTTGATAAAATGCCATATTTTAGTTCATAGAGGGAGTGGATTCATCAATTCAAACAATTACAAAAAAAATCCAATAAAATGCCAATAGTAAAGTCCTCATTAACATATGTAGTGAATATGCTTGAAGAAGAATTTTTGAGTAGAACACAATATCTATTAGATATCAAAGAAATATATACAAAGAATATCAAGGCAATATGTCTTAGTGGCATGGATGGAATTGGTAAGACTACAATAGCAAAGATTGCATTCAATGATGCAAAGCCCATGTTTGATGCATCATGCTTTGTTGAATGTAGTGAAAGTGGTGGAGATTACTTTACTATGTCTTGCAATATCTTAGAACAATTGAAAAAGAAATCAAAACCAAAAGATATGAAAGAAGTTTAAGATATGTTGAAATTATGCTTCACAAAGAATAAAATCATTCTAATCCTTGATGATGTGAAGAAGCAAAGCCAAATTGAAGTTATTGTGGCCATGGATGCATTGTTTGCAAGCAAAAATAGTACATTAATTGTGAAAACTCGAAATTGAAATTCAATAGAATATTTTGGTGTAGAATTTTATAAGATCAATGTTGAAGAACTTGATAAAGAAACAAGTATGAGGTTGTTTATTACCCATTCTTGTAGATACTAAGAGATATTGTCTAATGAATTCATTGAGATTGGCAATGAAATTATAAAAGCTTACAATGGCCTACCTTTGAGTTTGAAAGACATAGGTGCATTTTTAAGAAGCTAAAAGAGGTTGAGATGTTGAGAGAGAGTTTTACAAAGGTTGAAGAAGGGAAGAGATTTTGATGGAGATGAAAGTAATAGTGATCATAAGATATAGAACATATTAAGAGTAAGCTTTGAAAATTTGAAAGATCAAGAAAAGAACATGTTTTTGGACATATGTTGTTTATTTGGTAGTGATGTGTGTTCCCAAGACATGCTAAAAGAAAGAGCCTTGCAAATATAGACTAATAATAAAGATAATATTTCAAAAGAATGTATAAGGATTACATTGGATACATTGATTGATCAATCATTGGCAAGAATAGATGATAGTGGATATATAAGAATACATGATCAATTACAAGACATGGATCAAAGGATTATTGAAACAGAGTTGCTAATATGAGCACTAGAATATGGAACATGAATATAGAGCCATTAGAATAATTCGAAAATAAGGTATGTTCTTGAGATTTATCAAAATAGAATATTTAAAAATAATTATGAATAGAATGATCAAGTATGTAGATATTAATAGTGCTTATATGTCATAATACAATTGTATGTACTTATATAGATTTTTATGACCTTTTTTTAATTTGATTTTAGATTATTGTAAAATTTACATGTAGAATAAGATGCTTTGAAGTAAGATAAATTTGAAGTAATTATGTATGGATTGTGTTGGTGTAAAGTTAAAAGGATTATCTTACAAAAATCAAAACAACAACACGGTTATTAAAGTTGAAGGATTTATTTTTCCAAGACTTCAAAAATTAAGTTTTAATAATAGTGGAATTGCATTAAAAGATATTATATATAATTTAAATAGATTTCTTATTTTGGTAGAATATTCTATCAACTTAAAATATTTATCACAAAATTTTGAGTTTGATATACAACCTAAAGAAGAATTATTAGGTATAGCATTTGAGCTATTAAATAAAAAAGATGTTTGGAAAAAATTAAAGAGATTGAATGTTTTGAAATTAAAAAGTTATATTTTTATATATAATTTTTTAGATCAATTTTTTGAAATTCCAACACTATAAGAACTTGATTTGGAAGGATTTTATAATATAATAAGGCTACCATCAAAGATGTAATTTATGACTTCATTGACAAAGCTAAATTTTTAAGGTTTTTTACATTTAGAATCATTATCCAAATCCATAAAAAATATGATTTCTTTGACAATATTGAATATGCAATGGTATATAAGCTTGAAATCATCGCCAAAAGAATTGGGCAACCTCATATCTTTGATTAAATTGTCTATAGGACGGTACTCAAGCTTGACATCATTGCCAAAAGAATTTTGCAACTTCACATCTTTGACTGATTTGGATATAAAAGGGTATTTGAGTTTGACATTATTGCCAAAAGAATTAGGCAACCTCACATCTTTTATTGGATTGTCTATGGAAGGGTGTTCAAGCTTAACATCATTGCCAAAAATATTGAGCAATCTCACATCTTTGATCAAATTGCCTATACAAGGGTATTCAAGCTTGACATCATTGCCAAAAGAATTAGGCAATCTCACATCTTTGACTACATTAGATATAAGATGGTATTCAAGTTTGACATCATTGCCAAAAGAATTGGGCTACTTTACATCTTTGACCAAAATATATATGGAAGGATGTTCAAGCTTGACATCATTGCCAAAAGAATTGGGCAACTTCACATCTTTGATCAAATTGACCATCGAAAGGTGTTTAAGCTTAAAATCATTACCAAAAGAATTAGAAAACTTCACATCTTTGACTAAATTGAATATAGGATGTTGTTCAAAATTGACATCATTGCCAAAAGAATTAGGAAAACCTTCTATCTTTCACTAAATTCTACATGAAAAGGTGTTCAAGATTAATATCATTGCCAAAAGAAGTGGGAAACCTCACATCTTTGATTGAATTGTCTACAAGAAGGTGTTCATGCTTGACATCATTGCCAAAAGAATTAGGCAATCTCACATCTTTGACTAAATTAGACATAAGATGGTATTCAAGCTTGATATCATTGCCAAAAGAATTCGGTAACCTCACATCTTTGATCAAATTGTCTATAGAAGGATGTTCAAACTTGACATCATTGCCTAAAGAATTGGGCAACCTCACATCTTTGATCAAATTGTCCATAGGAGGGTGTTCAAGCTTGATATCATTTCCAAAAGAATTGGGCAACCTTACATCTTTGACTAAATTAGATATAAGATGGTATTCAAGCTTGACATCATTACAAAAAGAATTAGGCAACCTCACATCTCTAACTAAATTAGATATAAGATAGTCTTCAAGCTTAATATCATTGCCAAAATAATTAGATAATTTAACATCTTTGACCAAAATGTATATAGAAGGATGTTCAAGTTCGACATCATTGCCAAAAGAATTAAAAAATCTACATCTTTGATCAAATTGTCCATAGAAAGATGTTCAAACTTAACATCATTGCCAAAAGAATTAAATAATTTCACATCTTTGATCAAATTGTCTATAGAAGGGTGTTCAAACTTGACATCATTGCCATAAGAATTAAGCAATCTCATATCTTTGATCAAATTGTCTACAAAAGGGTGTTCAAACTTAATATCATTATCAAAAGAATTGGACAACTTCACATCTTTGAGTGTTTTGGATATAAGAGGGTATTTAAGCTTAACATCATTGCTAAAAGAATTAAGCAACCTCACATCTTTGATTGAATTGTTTATAGAAGGATGTTCAAGTTTGACATTATTGTCAAAAGAATTAGGCAACTTCACATCTTTGATTGATTTAGATATAAGAGGATGTTTAAGCTTGACATCATTGCCAAAAGAATTGGTCAACCTCACATCTTTGATCAAATTATCTATAGAACGGTATTCAAGTTTGATATCATTACCTAAAGAATTGGGCAACTTTACATCTTTGACTGATTTGAATATAAGAAGGTATTCAAGCTTGACATCATTCCCAAAAGAATTACGCAACCTCACATCTTTGATCAAATTTTCCATAGAAGGGTATTCAAACTCGACATCATTGCCAAAAAATTGGGCAACTTCACATCTTTCACTACAATCAATATAGAAGAGTGTTCAAGCTTGAAATCATTGTCAAAAGAATTAGGCAACTTCATATCTTTAATTGAATTGGAGTAGATAGGGTATTAAAACTTATCATCATTGCCAAAAGAATTAGTCAATCTTATATCTTTTAAAAATTTAAGTATAAAGAAATATAAAACCTTGCTATTTTTTCCAAAAAAATTCAGCAATCTAACATCTTTGATTATATTGGATATGTGGATGTACTTAAACTTTACATCATTGCCAAAAGAGAAAGGCAACTAGACATCTTTAATTATGTTGAATATGAAATTTTTAAATGTATTTTTGCATCTTTTTGTTTAAGAAGTTGGAACATAAAAATAATATTGGTTCATTTATTAGTTTGTGTGGTGGTTTAGATTATTTTTACTATTATATTGTTAAAGCATCAAAAGAAAGAAATCAAAAATCTTTGCAATAAATTCAAGATAATTTTTACAGATATCTTCTTTTATATTAGATATACAATATTATTTTTTTATTTTATTTATTAAGATCTTTAAAGAAATAAGATATATAAAAATTATAGTCAAAGTCAAATATTTTGGAATTTGGCAAAGAATTAAAGGCTATAAATAATGTATCTATTTAAAAATAAAATAAAATAAAAACCATAATTGACTAAAAATGACTTAGAAAAATTGATGACCAAATTGGATGATATTAAGGCCAAGCTCAAGTCAACTTATATAGAAAAAACCAAAGTTGAGGCAAATGACGTTTCTTATCATATATAATTTCTATGATATGTTAAAAGATGCACACCATATAACATATTAATGGTTTTTTGTTAATTACATGATAATTATACAAAGCTTATTATTGACATGTTTTTTTCTCTATCAAGTAAAATAGCAACTCTTAAAATACTAAGAGGTGAATATAAAATGGAGCATAGAAGACACTTCAATATGGAAAATAATTTGATCTTTTCAAATAAAGTGTCAAATATACTTCAAAATAAAAAAAAATGCTTTATTATTTAAATTTTTACTTTAATATATATTGATTTAATTTATTTTATTTGGAGATATTGTATATACTATCATATATGGTACTAGATAGAAATAGATTTATAATTTGATTTAAAACTAAGGTTTTAATTACTTGCCAACATCCATATGCATAAGTCAAAAGAAAATTATGCAAAATTGTTTTAGCCATATAAGCTAAAAAAAAGTTTATTTGATTGATTTAAGAATAGTAACTTAACTAGATTATTAGTCATTATTTGAAATTTTATTAATTATACAATACTAAATATTATAATGCCTAGATAGATTGCTTTAATGGTTATTGAAATTTATTAGTTGAACAACTAAAGAGAGTTATTTGAATGTTTTATTAACACATTTTAGTTAATAAAATTATTCAAAATAATTTTATTAATATTTATATTTTAATAAATATAAATTATATTTAATTATATAATTATTTATTAGAATTTAGAAGTATTTATAAGTTAAATAATCTTATTGAATATAAATTCATTAAATTAAAGTCTTTGTAAGTCTTAGAAGTAATTATTTTAGTTTATTTAATATTTAATCTTAATTAAGAGAATTAATATTTGATTACTAAGATCAATATCTAAAACAACTTTTTAAAAACATGTATTATTTATTAAAAATTTATAAATATTAGTTAATAGGTAAAAGTAGTATTAAAAAGAATATCATATTTTATAATTATTTATTTAGAAATAAAATTTTTAATTGATTTAAATTAATTTTATTACTAATAAAAATTAACAATATAAATAAATTAATTTAAATTTTATATTAAAATTATTAAAATACTAGAAGTTTATATTAAATTTATCTAAATTTCTTTAGCTATATTTATAACATATTTTTAAAATCTACTAAAAATATATTTTTTAATTTATCACTTGATGTGATATTAATTGCCAAATCTTATTGGATGTATACAATTTAATTTGATTTAGTGGTTTTTCATCCATTTAGTCATTTTGTTAATTAAATTTGTTAGTATCAACTAAAGTTAAAGACTTAGGTGGAGACACTCCCTTGACTTGACATTCTTGTCAAGTTAAGTCTTGTGAGTGGTTTTTAAGAGAGAAAAAACTTGTTTTCTAAGGATTTGTTTGACTATGGTGATCTAGCCATTTAATAAAGTTTTACAATTTTCTCTACTCACACTTGCATTCTTGGATTCTACCTTTGTAGTGTGAAAGGAAACTTTACTTAGTTGTGTGTAATTTTATCATCTTTCTTTGAAAGTGTGTTGATTGTCCATTTGTATTTGGTTTATATTGTATATTTTATGATGGATTTATAGCACTCAATTTTTTATACATAATAATCTTTATTTATAGAATAATTTGTAATAACCTTATGGAAAATTTGAGCAATATTTGAAAGCCCTTCAAGGCTCTTATGCTAATTAAGTGTTTTTAAATACTATGGTAAAATCAAAATTATAAAATAAGTATATTTTACTAGTAGAAATAAGAGAATGAACTATTAGTATATTAGTTTTAGAAAGAATGATACACATCTTCTATATGGGTTGTAGTACCTTGAATATAGGTAGTAGGATAAGGCTAAGGCCTTATGACTCTTCTAAGACCATCTTTTACACTACTTTGTCAACTTTGGTGAGGCTCAAACTTTTAACCTCTTAAACAAGTTTTTTTGGATATAAAATCCAATCATTCAATCTTTTTATTATTTATCTTTGATTTTTCAAATCTTCAAAACTTATTTATAAAAAATTAAATTCATATTTTTTTACACTATTAAAAAGATAAAAATATATAATAAATAAAAAAATAAATAATAATCTTTTTTATTATATAAAAATATAATAAACATACTACAATTAGTTTATGTAGTATAAGATTTTTTGATTGCAATTCTTTTATTTAATTTTTCTTATTTATTTTTAAGGTCTTTTTAATTTTATCTCTCACATCACATTACAAATTAAAAGAAACTATTAATTGAAGTCATCTTGTAATTTGAGTTAAGCAATGAGTTTTACTTTGACATTAAAATAAATGATAATGTTAACTATAAATTTTATGGTTGAAAGTTTTTAATAAGGATGAAGAGGAATAAAAAATCAAATAATAATAATAATAATAATAATAATAATAATAATAATAATAATGGCACAAATATTTAATTAATATAAAAAAGGAGACTAATCTTCTAATAAAATGAAAAAAAGAAGAAGAAAAAAAATTAAATTAAATTAAATAGTCAACAATAAAAGAATTATAAATATTTTTAAATAAGTAAAAGACATAATAAGTTTTTTTCTTAATAATTATTTTATTTATTATATTCTTATAAATTATTAGATATAATTAAATATAAAAAACTATTAAAGTAGTATATTAACTCTTATTCAAATTATAAATAAAAACTTATCCAATTTCTTTTAATTTATATTATGTTAGTTGTAATTAGGTATTTTGCACCAATAAGGATATATTAGGTGTGGTGATAGGACACAAATTATGATTACTTGCCAAAGACTTCTTTTAAATTATTGATATTGATTTCAATGAGATAGTTGTACTTATGGCCCAATTCATCACTATTATAACCATTATAACAATTAGTGTAGCAATAAACTTAGAAATATATTAAATGAATATAAAGACATTCTTTCAAATAAAAATCAAAAAAAGACATCTCATTAGACCAACTCTAAGAATTTGTATCAAAAGACAAAAAAAACCATTTTATGTAAGTTAGAAAATTTCTTATGTGTTTTAAATAATTACCAAGTTTATAGAACAAATGTATTAATGTATTTTTTAATCAATAAAAAATTTACAAAAAATAAAGCTAAGCATTAGTTTTATGTCATATAATTTAAAAAACTCTTGTAGGTTGTATTCTTTTATTATTAATGAGTTAATTATTTTTGTCAACAGCATAAGAAAAACAAATTTGATGAAGACATAATTCAACAAAGAATATGAGATGAACGATTTTAGCAAGTTGTATTATTTTCTTAGAAGTGAAATCTGTAAGAAATTGTACTAATTGCACCACCTATTTCATGTTTGCAGCCTTGTCTGCACCGCCTCAGCATCTGCAAAGTTCTGCAGATATTCAATCGCAGATATTCAATCGCATGGCTAAGCGGGCTCTGCCTGCAAGTATTCTATATACACGCATGCTCATTCGACGACAGGAATCACAGTATTAGCCATCCAATACCCGCTGCCACTTGAGCCTCGAGCGAGAAACGATTGAGTGCTTGACAGGCTCCTGTGTGATCGGTTCTGTTGAGAAGCTGTTAAGCGCAGCAGGATCCTGCAGGCTAGTCAAGCATCACTGCCCTCGATCGTTGCTTGCTGCAGTTCTCCAAGGCCTTCAGTGGTTCGTGCGACTCTCAACTTCCTGACATGGGCGATCTAAATAGTGTAATATACCTGACTCAACTTCCTCCTGTCAAAGGTTCACCATAGAGAGCTGACTTCGTGCAAACAGCAGAGTATTTGATTGGAATCCTTCTCATGTTCTTCCAACTCTGACCTTTCTCTTCGTCTTTGATGCGCCGTCGTGCCGATTGCAGATTTTTGACTGCAATCGTTTTCCTCCCATCAGCCGCGAAGACCTTCCGAGTGACAAGGTATGCTTTCAGTATTGTTCATCGGTCGCGGTCATAGTCCACAGTCTAAGACATACACTGATCGCGTATATTGGTCCATCAGGCAGTGGTCGAATGGCTGGTCCTCTGTGTCTCCCGCTGGAGGATCGTGAGGATGCTGCCTACTCACAGATCTCACACCTAAAACAAGCCGTTATCCGGTTCTCATCTGATTTTGGACTTTGGATTTGTGCCTTTGCAGGTTAATTGGAGATTCAGGCTCCAGAAGTTCATCGACATGGGCGGCCTCCAAAGAGATCTGGACATGGTATCAGCCCGCTGGCCAGATGAGTACTTGTCAGGTGGGTGCCGATGAACTTCGATGTCTAACATGCGCGGAAATTCATTGTAGAATCTGGCAAGAAGTACGCAGGACAACTGGAGATTAGTCTTCACGGTCATTCTTGGGAAATGACGTGCAAGTAGGAAAAAGTGGCTCAGAAGTCAAATAGATTGTTTTACGAATACCTGTTCATGATTAGCATGGGATGGTAACTGTAACTTTCGGCAGATAACAACTTCATTCAGAAAGTTTATCATGGAACGACGAAGGAAGTATGATGTGAGTTTGGAAAACCATCACAAAACATTCGTGTAGCTTTGGATCTTGTGATGATATGTAATTATATTGTTGTCTTTCAATGTGCAGAGCCTAAGGTGGATAATGATCGTGATGACATCAGCGTCATAGTTATTACAGGATACCCGCCTCGTCACAATTACGATGTACAGCGCGTTCTGAACTTAGTCTACAAGCATGACCCAACAGCAACACTTGTGATTTGAGTAATGGTTTGCCATTTTGAATGCTGTTGCGAGACATGACAAAAGAACAAGTTTTATGTAGCTATTGATACTGTGCTAATTTAAAAACATAACAGGACTGAATATATACTGTGTCGCGTATATACCACATGTTCTTTATATGCTAAATGTTATTGGATAAATACACTCATTCGACATACTACATATGGATGTAAATCATAACCAGAAGTACATAGGTTGATGTAAATCATAACCAGAAGTACATAGGTTGATGTACAATGTAGAGCGGCTAATCTTTTACAGTGAGTGATCCCGTTAGCGTAGAGATTAGCAGCTTGTTCTGCCGCATCTTGAAGACGGTATTGTATAGTGGTCCGAGTGCAATTGCACGGTTGAAATAATAGTCACATTCTGTGTTGCTATTGTGTGTTTGTTGTGTGTTAAATTTCAACAAATATCCTCCATAGGTTGTAATAGTTTCCAACCAAGCATTTGCGTCTCCTACTTCAATGAGTTGTAAATGAGACATGTTGCTCTTTTCAAGGGAATTATGCACCCTTATTATTCTTAATCACTCAGGGTAGCGGGGTTGGAGGGATTGTGGGAAAACTCGTCGTTATTTCTCAGTACCTCCCATGATGCAGACTTTGTTTTCGCCCACAACGTTGATACGAAGGAAGGCAGACATCTCCACTATTGAAGAAGGACGATGGGTCACGACTTGTCTCGGATCTGATCTCGGTGGACTTCCATGTGGCGATGGGTTTCTTCGTGTCTGCACCCGGTCCGTGTCTGCCAAGGTGTTCTGCAGACCTTCAATTGCATGGCTCCGCGGACTCTCAGGGACACTAAAACGGCAGACACGCATGTTCGTTCCTAAAGGATAAACATAGAATCTCTGCAGGATTACCCTTTTCCTTTCACCCTCTTGTAATGAATTCATGTTGGGCTTTGTGGGCTCATTCCTCCACGAGTGATTTGATTCCCTTTTTCCTTGTGTTTTCCTGAAAAATGCGAAAGTAACATGGATCACCGAGATGCAAGAATTGTTTACGTGTTATTACTTCAATTCCCGCGTAACAATATATGGATTATATATTCAAGGCTTGCTAACCGTTTATCATCTAGTGCTTGGTCTGGACCCCTAACCATTGAAGAAGGTTGGCTGCGGCGAAGGATCATATCATGCGGGGGGGGGGGGGGGGGGGGGTTCTCAATTAGGACAAAGAACCACTCATCACACAAGCGTTTAACAGGTCCAACTTGACGAGACTATAGGGCACGTGAAACTTGATTAATTCCTCTACATTTCTGTCTGTATGGCTTTTACCCTAGCAGGTTATTGTACCTAGCTGATCAATAAGATGGCTAGGAGTATCAAGTACATAAATCCGCACAAGATTTAAATGATTAAAAAGTACAGTGTAGTATGATCAAAGAGGTTGCTGGTGTTTAAATGCACCAAACATGAAAAGAAATCGATTTGCAAGCAATGGTGCACCTCGTAACAAGGATTCAATGACTGATGAAAGTTGACTACTGCTCCTAGAGTAAAACTGGACTTCCAGCAAAGAATGAATCTAGGTCCTACAGAGGGAAACTGATAACAGAGCCCAACTAAACGTTGTGATTTGATCCCGAAAGCAAGTGTTCTGTCTCGGATACGATGTCCTTCAAGGGAATTGACGTAACCCGAGAAAGAGAACTAGAAGAACTAGAAGTATTACTCGACAACCTGAGGGCAGCGACTTCTACTCGAAAAAATATCCACTGAAACCGACGCAACATCTCCAAGAAGGAGAAAAGGAAGACAGTTTTAAAGTTGTGACGTAGATGAGCTGATAACTTGTACGTCCAAGCCGCTCGCAACACCATGTTGCTTCCTATTGCCCAGTAATACACCTGATTCATTACAGAGATTTTGTATGAGAACCACAAAAAAATTGATTTTGGCTAATTAAACGAAATGCCTTCAGCTGTAGATTACTAAGTGTTTCACACTATCTTTAATGGTTATTTCAGTCGACTTCCAATTCTTGCAGCCAATCGTTGTTAGTTGCCAGAAAATTAAGTATGATACGAAACACAGTGATATATTCAGACCTTTTACGGCATTCCTTCTTTAGTCCTAACACCTATTCCAAGTACCACCTCAACCACTGAAGGTGACTTTCTGGCATAGCAACCACTTACCCAAGGTCGATTAAACATTAAAGTAGGTCGAAGAGACTGTTTAACAGGCTTCCACGGACCCTTCATCCACCTGCAAGAATCCCATTATCACTTTAAGTTGGATGTAAAATAATTGTGCCATACATAAAAACTAAAAGTTCAAGGAGTTGGTAATCTAATAATCACGGATAAAAACAAGTTTCTACAAATCATATCTTGATTGACGTGCCCCAATATTCCCTCAAAAAGTTCAAGAATCACACATCTGATTGATCTCTGAAGCTCATTTCGACAAAACCGTCAATTTAGAAAGTACTTCAAACTATGGTAGCGAGGGTAAAGTACAAACCCAAGATCCCAGTCCTTGGTAACATCCCACCAAAATGAGTAGCCGGAGTTGAGGATTGCACACAGCACCCACAGTGGACACAAGGTACTGAACCAGAATTGCAACTCCACGTGGTACTTGAGAGCTGACAGGAAGATAACCGGAAATGTTGTTGTGTACTTCAATGCTGCACCCACAAAAGAAAGAACCAGCATACTTCAAAGTCCGCCGTCTCCTCTTATGTAGGTAGTAAGCCTCGCTGTATCACTAATTCCACATAAAGCATGGACAATTGCTAGCTCTCAGTAGCAAGTATGTTAGCCACGTATGCAAAAAGTAACTATCATGGCATAGTTAAGTCAAACGTCGAAATCAGTAAACATTATACGCAAGAGTAAGAAAATCAACCCACATAGACAGCAGAACAAAAAAAAAAACAAAACAAAACAAAAAAAAAAAAGATTTTTAACAATAAGGTTAAGTTGAAAATGTACCATTGAAAAGACAAGTCTTGTCTTTTGTGTCATGATATTGTCTTAAGCACTGTAACAACCTGCTCAAGTAAGGATAAGCCAGAACGATAGGTATGTACATTGAGTGACCTCCGCAAGTATCTTTTGCGGTTAACCATGCGACAGTCGCAACCTGGTGCACAAAGGCAGAAAAGGCTGTAAGAAACAGATCTGTTCATAACTCACTGCATGATTCTAAATGCCCGGACCCAAAACAGCACGAGCATGATAAGGCTGTAAGTAGAATGACGACGCGAAAGCTTTCTCCCAACCAAATCAAACAAAATCCAACGTCATCCTACTCAGATGATCACAAACATAGCAGCTGGTTGGTATTTAGACAATAACCAAGGGAAGAAATATAGACTGGCTTTTCCAAGACGAAAGGGGACGCACATGATCTCGTACACAATAAACACTACCTACAGAGCTGTAGTCTGAAACTGCCAAAGAAGTGTGAAGTGCTTGCCTGCCGGTGATACATCCTGCAAACTGAGCGTTCCACATCGGACAAAACCTGCAAGAAACAAGTTGTTGTATGTGAGACCTTGGCGCTTACCGCTGAAACTGATAAGTCATCGCACTAGAGACAAGGTACTTATATGTATTGAATTACTACCTAGGAGATGAGATTAGAGGAAATTTGCAGCTCCTATAATCATCGTAATCATTTAAATCATAACAATGTCAAGGAGACCGTGCAGATAGTCAGCCTGAACTTCAAACAACTAGCTTGTAAACTTGGGCCATGGGCGTCAACACATCATCAACAAAGACGTCAGCAAATAACAGACTGCACAGCATCGTCAGGTCATAATGTCACCCACTTTGGCCATAGATGTCAGTACGTCCGCCACAAAGAAGTCGGCAAATGTTATTGGCTGTGCAAAATCAACAGCGAAAGAGGAGACCGTTATCAATGTGTAATTTGTCAGTTCCGAATGATAACAGTGTCAAGGAGACAGTGCAGACAGCTTCCGTCGTATCTTGCACCAAGATCACTCTAAACAGGAACATATGCATGCTGAAGCAAGAACATTCAAATCATCAATATGCCTACGTAGGGCAGCTAGCCTAGAAACGTTTGTTGATACCTGTAGCAATAATTTGTGATACTTGTAGTCAACATTAAATCGAACACGAAATCATGATGTATAACCAGCGAACCAAAACAGAGTAAGTGCAGGAAAGTAGATTTAAAGCTCTGAATACCCTCGACTAATTCTATAAATATAGTGATCAGTGTTGCAACTTACTAGTGCGCCTCTTTCTTAACCTACAATATCGCCTAAACCAACCGTGTATTCCTGTCGACTCCTAAAGCTCTTGGAACCAACAAACTGGAGTTTGCATTAGAACTTTTTTAGACTCAGAAAGGGTTAAGTTCAAAATCATTCCTTCCAATCGGACTCCACTTTTCTTCGTCAAGAAACAAACCTGAACAGGGAACGTAAGGCGGACTAGAGTCTTCAGGAAGAAGAATCTAGTATTCATGTAGAACATATCCAGAGGCAGTCCCAAAACCAATGGCACCGTCACATAGAGCAAGACCTGTGTGGACAGACAACGCTTCATCAAATTTGAACCCTGAAACAAGTACTCTTACTTTAGAAGACGAAAACAAAACGATTACACTGATAAGAATAAGAATTACACGCACAAACGTAGGACATCGTTATCCATAAGCTCAGATTTGTACACAAACGGCGCCTCACAATTCAAGCATACAGAATCGAAGAAAGACAAACATATTTGATCACATCCAGTAGGTATCATTCATCATACCATCCCTATAAAAGGTCAGACGAAAAGAATTTCAAAAAGATTGAGAACCTATGACGCAAAGCATAGTACTGATAGACAAGAAAGTTATTGGAATGCACAGATTGCAAGAGTAACGCGTATACTAATTTGCGTAATAACATGTAACAATTATGATTGTGATTTCGATAAGAACCGAGCACTTCCAAAAACCCAGAACATAACCGTCTTACCCAACAATCTGGGAAAAAAGAAAAACACGGTTAACCCCCACAAGGATTATTCCACACATGAGAGGGTATTATGTGCTTACTGGTTGTGAGGCTGCCATCGAGACCATGCCGTGTGAATAAAGATATAGATATGCAGTCATGCTTGTAATCACAGCCACAGTCATCCATGTTGCTATCTGGGACATAAGGAAAACCAGCTCATCACTTCCGTACTAGTACGCAATGAACCTCATTACATCACTGTTCAGTATTCAGTGAAGTCAAATAACTACACATATGGTTTTCAATTCCATATTGAATCGAAACAGGCATGAAACAAACATGAGGCTTATATGCAAGGTCATTACCGAAACACTAAAAATAGAGCAGATGTACACTCAAACAACAGAAAATGAAAAGCTTGGCTTTCACCTTCCAGATTTCATGGTGTGTGATGTGATTAGGATCTAGTTCAAACACTCTAGCATAAGGGAAGCGCGCGGTCAAAAATACCCATACATCAACTCCCCATAACCACACCATGGCAGACTGCAACACGAACAAGAACAGAATTAAAACGGCATAAGGATTTAGAAAATTTCAGTTCAAAGCTGGACTAAATTATCCAAAAAGTAGTTAGTAAATAATCTGGGCGTGCAAATGAACAGAACTTATTGAAGATAGCAATACACCAATACTTCGCAAATAAAATAAACAACCCACCACTACTCCTCTACAAGTATACCCAGCTTCAGTGGCGCATATTCCGCAGTGATGAAGGACTTAAAAGGCAGAAACAGATTGATTGTTGGTTGCTCACCATTAAAAAAACTGGATTGTAATATAGATACACTTCGTATAGGAATTTGTCGAGAGTCGTCACATTCATAAGTGTCAAAGACTCGTATGCCACCTGTACTCCATAACATGCTCACATCCGAACCAGTTAATCAATATGGAGGTATACGAAAGCCGATCTGTAAAAGAGCTTGTTAAGTTTGCAAGATTGGAGGGAAAAGAGAATCAGATGGGGAAAAATATTACCTTCAAACAAATTAGAATCCAAACAGCAAAAGAGATTGCCTACAACCACGCACAGCACCGAATGAAAAGTTAAAATACTTCATCTCTTCAAGTGAACTACTTAACTGAAAGAAGTATGTAAAACTGATGTCATCGATCTCTAAAAAAAACTAATATTGCCATGATGATCATAATAATCTCAAACATAAAGCTATCTTTAAGAATTTGTAAGAATTCGTAAGAATTAGTGTCCGACACAGTCGTGGAGTTGCTATGCACAATAGGAGAACTCTTACATATTAAGGTAGACCCAAAGCTCTGGTATAATCCACAATAGCAAGGTTACCTGCATCCCCCATGTTGAGGGAGCGTTACCCTTCATTACGCTCCCCTCTGAGGAAACACTATTGTCTCCAGCTTCCTGGTTTACCCCGCCACGCCCATTCTGTAGAGCTTAATTCTTAGGAATAAGACCAGAGCAATTTCAATGAGTTCAGTCCTCAAGATTCTGATGACCTAAGGCCTCCGCATTACTCCAGAATGAGCTCCAGAATAGGAAATAAAACCCCCGCTGAGACCGCAGTTTCAAATCATACATGTCAAAAAGAGGCTAACAAGAAGGAGGATGATGGTTTACATAACGTGCAATCGAAGTCTACAACCTGCGCATTAGCACCCATTTCAACCACGCACGTCACATTCGTGGGTGCTGCGCTTCGAACTCACCCAAATCTAGAGTGGTCGTTCTGTTTCTAGCCCGTCGTAGTGGTATATTCTTCACCCCCCCAACCGAGTGGAAGGAGTGCTGTCGGACTCTGTACATGGACATTCAAAGTGGAGAGAGAGATTGGTTGCTACCCATCGGTACGTGAGCCTCGCTCTCCTGTTACAGCCTAAATTTTGCTTCCCCCTCGCACGCCAAATAACACCTGCAAGACACGAGCACAGGCAAATCATGTCAAACTACTAGCTGATGCCCCACGATTCCATCTGTAGCAAAAGCAGGCTCACTGGTGACGCCTAATTCAATTTAGGTTGAAAACTTATAAGCTCTAGTTAGCATCATGCCCATGTACGCACATTATCGCATTGCACAACAGTCTGATTAACCATGTTTTTATTTTTATATTAGTCCTTAGACCAGAATCAATGACCGCGGATGACTACAGGCTCCTTTCATATCAGCTTATTAAGCAAGAGATTAAAAAGGTAGAGGGATTTCACAGCGTAGGTATAGCTTGGCTAGATAAATGAAATGCAAACCGAACAACTTAAAACCTTGCTCACCAATGAGGGAGTTCGATAATTTTCTGTCCGCAGGAATTTCCGCCGAAATTGGCCTCGACTGACAAGATGCAATGCTTGTGAGAAAACTCACAGTAAGATAACCTGACAGGATTCTCGGCCAAGGAAGAAAGTTTTTTATGCCCAAACAGACCCTGCAAGCAACACCTTAGGGAGTTGTCCAAATATCCACGACCTTGATCCTCAAATCAAAATTCTATCCCGTGTGTAATAAAATAAAATAAAACCAGATGCATGACCCAAGATGCAACTTCACCCAAATTCTGCACCCAACTGCCTGCTTGGAAAACGCGGATAAATTTTAAATCCGCACTGCAAAAAGCCTAAAATATATACGCACCGATACTTGTCGGAAATTATAACCTTAAGACACTCTCACGCTCATTGGCGTATCCCATCTTCTCCTATTAACGTGTTAAACAGGAATTATGAACCCAGCGGCCGCATTCCGTTTACTTATTGTTACGGAACAAAGAGAATAACAAAAACTTGTGGGAGGAAATGGAAATCTCAGGACCCCAAAGGTAGCAGATAAACAACTTGTAGGCGCGAAGGGTACAGTAGCGAGTGGGAGGACAATGGCGGATGGTTTATGGTGAAGTAAGAAACAGATATCGGAATGGGAGAAGGCGAGTGAGGTATCGTTGCAATCGTAAGGAAAGCGAGAGAGTGATGGAAGGCTACATAACGAGAAGTTCCGACGCCGTGGCAACGAGATCTCAGAACTGCTTCGCCCCCATTTTCTCTCGCAGTCCTCGCCGTCGTGTCGCAGGGAACATCATTGTGAACCCCCGGGAACCTCATTCGTTCCTTCTCACTTGCGGGCTGATTTTCATTCTCTGGGGTCGGTTTCAAAGGGGACGATCGGCCCCCAGAAGACGTGATGCATGACGTGCTCACGAAAGATCAAGAACCTCACGGTAATCTCATGACTAGAGTACTAATCATGTCTTGAAAGGGAGGTCTGTCGCTTAATTTCACACTATCTTCAGAGCAACAGAGAGCGAGAGCGGCGAGAGAGAGAGAGAGAGAGAGAGAGAGCCATCGTCAGCTACTTCTATTTACCGCATCCATTTCTATGGCTGCTACGAGAACAGAGGATGTGAAGGAGAGAATTGAGATCGTTCCACGAGTAAACTGGTGTGGAGCGCACCCAACTGCAGGAGTCTGAGTACTCGAGCATCAGAGGCAAGATGTGCATCGAATTTTCAGTGTCATGAAATGTACACGCCTTGCGGCGCCTACTCGCACACCGAAAAAGTGAAGAGATTCAGGCACTAGAAGTTGACAAATGAAATGTGTATTCGGGTGGCCATTCAGTATGCGGGAATACAAGAGCTGTGACATTTGAAAGTTAACCGAGCTATGCTGCACTGCCCCCAACAACCTCCACGAAACATTCCAGACATTACGGTATCACAAATCTAAGTAAAACGTCTACTAACACCATCCACCTCAGATGTGTTTCATGCACAGAGTAATGTTTCGATGATACAAAACATACACTGGAGCAAGTCCGAGATAATGAGTTTACAAGCAAATGAACAACACGATGACCAGAAAGAAATCGATATTGATTTCGTATGCCTACTTACAATGGAATAATAGATCATGAGATGCAAAGCCCGACACAGTTATTGTGGCTACACACTCTGTCTGCAAACTACCACTGTACAAAAATAAAATTGCAGCCTACTGCCATGGGTCTCTAAAACTGCACAGCAAGGAGGAGGGTTGTCTGAATCGTGCGCCACCTGCTGGTTTCTAAATCGCTTCACTGTTTCGGTGATGAGGTAGGCTGCGATGAATCGTCAACAGGGCATGGCATTCACCCTCTCTTGCCTTCACAGTTAACCATCCTTCCGCCATCAACGCTGCTCATGCGTCGTGACAGTACATGCAAACAAATGGACACATCCTAGTATTTGACTAAATATCGTCGCCATCGCTTTGCCTCTTGAAAGACACCTATTCGTGTATTTTGCGGTTGTATCCCGATTCTTATGCTTACAATAAACGATCAAGGATGTAGAAAAACCGCGACAACAAAGCGTTCAAAAATAAGCGGCACGCCTTTTGCGGTTAAACTGATTCGATCAGAAGCCAGCAGAAAAAATTAGAAGCACTCAAACTCGGGGACGCCGTTATCACCATCGTGGCGACCTCCCGTAGCCTTCTTTTTCTCGTCCGCCAAAGCTTGTCCTAAAGTTGGCACTCCGGCGGCGGCAGCCAGCTCGAGCCTGTAAGGCTTGGGGACCTCCGGAGGACATGCACAACGAATCAATGCCCAGTTCACGCCCTCAAAGAAAGGATGGGCCTTGATCTCGCCAGCGCCGCGAATGGAGCCGATACGCTTCATGGGGTCCTTCATTAACAGGCCCCTGATCAGGTCCTTCGCGCTGTCGGAGACGGTCACTGTGTCGGTATTGGGAGGAAAGATTAAGGGGTGCGACACGACGTTCGTGAGAGTGAGCTCATTGTCAGCTCCCTTGAACGGTGTCTTGGCATACAGTAGTTCGTAGAGAAAGATGCCGAATGTCCACCAGTCGACAGAGCTGCCATGGCCATCACCGGAAATTATTTCTGGAGCCAGATACTCGTGAGTTCCAACAAACGACATGGAGCGGACCTCGGTGGGTTCGACCACAAGCTCCGGCATGGAAGGAGGCGACACAGCACCCTTTTCGTTTTCGGACCGGCCAGATCGCTTCGACCGAAGCGCCATTGGTTTGCGGAACCGGTACTGGCTAGAGATTATAGGGACACACGACTGCAGAGCGACTTGTTGAGGCTCCGACATCCAGATCTCAGATGTGGCCCTTCGTTCGTTCCGGGATGGCAGTGCCGCAAGGATGGGTTGGGCCATGATCAGGCTGGGATTAACAGCACAACGGAGCGATAGGTCGAAATCAGAGAGCATGATGTGACCATCTTCTCGCACAAGAACATTCTCAGGTTTAAGATCGCGGTATACCACGCCCATCATGTGCAGATACTCCAGTGCCAGGAGGATCTCGGCTGCATAAAATCTGCAACCGACACAATCGCACCACCGAAAACATCATTACACTATGGATTTTAGATAAATTGTGGCAGCTCTCACACTTCATCGACTACTGACTTCGATTATGACACCGATTTACTGCACACATTTCTTAATGACAGATTCTGCTGAAACTTCTACAGTAGAATGTGTAGCATTAGAGGACGAATCCTAAACTCTTAAATGTAAAGGTCCGAGGATAGCAGGCCGTGTGTACCGAAGATGACAAATTGTGTAAAGTTTATCTAAACATGGAACTCGCCCAAAAACAAACCCGCGCACACAGGTAGGCCTCTTGCCTATTGGGTTCCAGATAAGCTTGAGATACTCTTTGATTTATGTGTAATATTACCGATGAAAATCCAGGGCAATAGTGGCACGAGGCTTTATAAACTTGACTGACTGACGTCAATGCAAGTGAAGTCTGAATGAGTTTAATGTCCAACGAGTATTTAGAGGGTTTCAGACGAGAGGATACTTGAGCTTAAACACCTGCCAAGGCTTCAGGAAATAAGAATTCCATGTACAAAAGTAGTTTGAAGCAAACTTACTTGGCAGCCATGTCGGGAAAGCATTTTCCTGCCTGTTTCTGACGAAGGGAATGCAAGTCTCCTCCAGAGCAGTACTCCATAACTAAGCATGAGAATTGAGCCGTATCGAAGTGGGCATACAGTGTTGGCAGAAAAGGATGGTCAAGCGACGCAAGAATCTCCTTCTCTGTTTGAGCCCGAGAAAGCTTCTTCCGGGTTGCGAGAGCGGCTTTGTCCATCACCTGGTTTACGTACAAGTAGCTTTCTATCAGCAATAATTAATTTATGCACATTTCGCACAGATACAACTCCATTTGTAAATGCAAAATAATCCACGAAACTTTATATTCTCTTGATGACATACAAAACAATGAAGGAAAAAAATCTATACAGAGATGCCCAAAATTGACCTTCATTGCAAAGTAGCAATCTGAGCCCCGCAGTTCGCACAAATACACGCTGCCAATATCTCCGCAACCCAGTCTTCGGAGCAGCTTAAAATGGCTAAGACCCACTGATCCATCCCTAGCCCTGAGGGCCTGTATGGCCTCCCAGTTCATATCATTCGACTTGTGTGGTTTGTTGTTGCTACTTGGTTTTCTGACCCATCGCAACAGACATCTCGCAAAATGAATACACCAACAACTCGCGAAGGACAACTTTAACCGTATTCAAAAACCACAACTTTTAGACACCAAACTTCATATTCAATTTTGTTTAAAAAATGGTAGATGAACTGAGCGAATTTACCTCAAGAGGACGTGACCAAGAACTGGTCCGCTGTGCTTCGTGCCGACCTCTTCGCCAGGCTCCACAGTAGATATAAACCTCGTGTTGCAGCTTTCGTAAGATTCGTCATCAGAGTTATGACCTGTAGACGTTTTGGTAGATCCACACTTGCGGTTCTTGGAATCTTTCGACGACACCTCCCGGAAGGACCCTAATCTGAAGGATCCGATCCGAAAAGACCCCATCCTTGAGCTCCCAACCTTGGGAGTGTCTTGGGGAGTAACCGCGTCGTTTTTGAACGAGATGAACTTCATGGATGCAGGTCTTCTGGCTCCGACTTCTAGGTTTCTGTACCTGTTGGATACTGCTACCTGTTGATAAATTATAGTCCACGGATTTTATGTTGTCGTCCGATGAGTTTCCATGATTTGCACGCACTTCCAATTGCCACTACAACTACTGAGCTCGGAGTCTGCCCGTTTTTGCCTCTCAGACCTCCACATCGTGCATCAGTAAGGCTGTCGATCCGACGCATCCACTCGAAACGTGAAGAGAACCATTAAGGCTAATTACCTCTGAAAACCACGCCACTCCAGCAGCTTCAACTGGTCAATCCGTTCATTTTAGAGTATAAACGAAGATAATCTGAATCTTCACTGCTCACGCGAGGTCCAAATGGATGCCCAAGCGATGATGCTTCAAACTCTAGTCAGTAAAACGATCCTGCAACCGGGCACACGGGTGAGAGATGAATCCACTTTCCTGTATTCCAGCTGATAGATCTTGCATTCAGAACCTAGGTTGCAACCATGAGCACATTTTCTTTTTATTCACACAAGGCGGACCTTGCCAATGGTACCGCCCGTCTTATCGAGCACTCAAGTGTCAAGCTCTCGGTAACACTTGCTACTGGGTATGGCCCAAGTTGCAAGTAGATTTAAACTGCTTACTATGATTTCGAACAATGTCTCAACTGTCAATGCTGGCATTGAACCCCCATTCGAGAATTCACAAGTGAGAATGTTTGTGCGGAAAAAAATATAAATAATGCGTGGAGATAAATTGGAAACGAAATGAAAAAGTTAACAATCGGCTCAATCGGTCAAGCTATCTCCCGTGGATGCCAAAAAACTGGCCTACTCTCCCACATTGTAATCACTCGGGTTTAAACAGTGCTTTGCATGCATGACTCACTTCAACGACAATGAGCTAAAACCCCCAAAAAACCCTTTGAGCAATTCGAGTGACAATCACGAGAGTGCGACTTCGCAAAAACCTCAGAAAGGCCATCATTAAACTTCAACAGCTTGCGGGTTTCCGCTTAAAGGGTTCAACGTCCTGCTGGTTTCGGAGACCCACCTGCAGGCGACACTGAAGCCTAACTCGCAACGATCGAGGAAGGGAGAACGCAAGAATCATGAGCGATCACTTCACGACGTTGCAAAGGAGCTCGAAGAAGAGAAGTCCAAGATCACACGAACAATGCCTCCTCGATACGGAATTGTCCGGACACCTACACAGATCTAATGCCCAATGCACTTGACTGTATACATGCAATCCGCGTAATCAAGAGACCGCATTGCGACAACAACACCAACAGCAATACCAACAACAATAAGTGCTGGCACATGGCATACCCACAGCATATGCGTCGGAAGCCATCCAGCAACGCAGGGAAATGACAATGACCGCCGGAGTCGGTTGCGAGGGCGAGTGAAGTGGGGGAGAGATGGACCAGACTGGCAAAATTGCAGAGAAGGGGCCAGGAATAGAGGCAACAGCGGCAGCAGAAATTCGAGCGACGGAAAGCAGGGGTATGGGGCGGACAGGGACGCGGGCGAAGCGCATCCGGCAGTGAGCGCCGCGCCTCCTTCGATGACGGAGCCAACCACCTTCACGCTCTTCTCGGCCTGGCCCTCACTCGTCATTTACTGCGGTCGGATAATCAACTTCAGACTCCATTGTCCGGATTCCTTTTCACAATGGCTGACACCAAGTAACGCGTGTGAAGTAGTAAATCCTCTTCGTGCCTGCGAATTAAACTCACGTCCAGCGAAAGAAAAAGAAAAAGAAAAAACTAGTCAACAACTCACCCATTCTGAGCCTTAAAAATTGCACCCACAACAGAATATTGGGGGATGTGAGGCACGGTAGCGACGCATGTGCAATGGCGCACGCAGGCACTTCATTTCTTCTACTCTTGCTTGCTTGCTATGTTGTTGCTGCTGCTGCAAGCCATCAATCCATCCATGCTTCCATCCGTGGCAATCATCTTCCTCCCCGCCTGCATTGCACCTTCATCACTGCCTGCTCCGTCAGGGCTCGCTTTGTGTAGCTCGCAATCCACGGCGAAAGGGGCGCGGCGGATCACGAGCCTGCTCCGCTGGTGCCCCGTGACCGTGGCTGCCTGCTCTTCTTCGTGTTTGTCATAACCCACGGCGAAGGCGCCGCGGCCGCTCACGAGCCTCATCTGCCCCATGACCGCGACCACAGCCGTCATTCCTGTTCAGCCTTTATGCTCTCTCCCTCAATTTTTGATGACTGCACTACATTACAGATACATGAATATGTAACCGTATAAATATATGTATATCTGTGTGTATTTATATTTATTATCTATGAAATAAAACAACTTTGGTTTAAGACAAAGAAGTCTTCTCATTGGCAGTGAAGACAGGAACACAAGAGCACAGGAATGCGGGGCTTTCCAAGGTCACATAGTTTGGAAGAGACTCTTCCCAAAAGCATTTACAGTTTTCTCGTGCCCCAATGCATTGCATGGGTTTCCACTTGTATTATATAAAATAGAGACATAAAGAAGCCTTCTCGTTTTCTGAACATGGATGAACACGGGAATGGATGGATAGTTGTGCCAGATATTGCAATATCCAATGGGACGGGTTTCCATTAATCATTTTAAATATATATATATATATATATATATACACACACACACACACACATATATATATATATATATATATATCTAAAAAGATGTAGAAATTGAAAGTAGATGTGGTGAATTTATTTTCAAATGATATATGTTGTTGCTACATGTGACAATAATTAATGACATTTTGATTTTGTTCTTTTAATTTACATATAATTCACAAAACAAGTTACATACATATAAGTTTTTGTTACATGCATGTTCAATGTGTTGTAATATTATTTAGAAAGAGGTGCTTAAAACAGATCTTGATATTACAAACTTGCATTAAAGTTCCAAAAATGAGTACAAAAACAGTAAATGTATTCAACTAACATTCTGAAATTTATACACTTTGCACATTTGTGTTGTGTGCAAATACAAAACTAACTGATAACTGTTGTAAAGTGTAATATTTGTTTGTAAACCACTCAAGGGTCAAACAGAATATATTTTTCAGGTTCAGTCATTCAAATATAATAATAATAATAATAATAATCCAATATTTGTAACTGCAAACCTTGTGGAAGGGTCCTATTAGCTAATATCTCCCCTTGTATAATATTCACATTTACATTTTTGTACAATAAAATCAATATAATTAAAAATATTATTTTCTGGTATATCAGATGGTTTTTTCTTAATACAAACAAATAAATCTAATGATAACAATTGTATTGAAATTATTTATTCTCAACACTAATGTGGCATCTCAGTTTGTGATATTGAATAAATAATTTAATTTATAAGCATTCAATATTTAATGTTTAAATAAAATTTGGATTAACATATTATATATGTATGTATGTCACACTTTGTATGTTCTAAAGAAAAAATTCAGAAGCCTCCCAATCAATAGATTAGTGGATATAAATAGCATTTTAACAAAAAAAATTGAACCCTAAATGTGTACCACACACACTATACATTCGTAGTGAATATAAACATATGATTCAATACTATAAAGACATACAAAAAATTGAAATTTATAGAAAATTTTAATCCAATTTTAGATGGATAAAATACAAATTTAATCACTTATTATTAAATAGATAAAAATATAGCATCATCAAAAAAAACTTGATGAAATTACTATAAATTTAGGAGGAATGATAAAACTATCAATTTTTTTTCTTAAAGAAACCCATTCTATCTTAAGCATCATTACACCCTTGGAGCCTCCATCTCTATTTCCAACCATTTTCCATTCTCAGCTCTCACTAAAGATGGCAACAAGAGGCTGGGAACATTGAGAATAGGGACGATGGTTGGGAACATGGGAATAGCAAGGAATGGGGTATGTGGGTTAATTTAGTAAAATTTTAATAATTTAATAAAATTTAGGCTGCTTTATCATTTTTCTTTGTATACATATAAATATATTAATATATAAATGAAATTAAATTTAAAATTATATAATATAAAATAAATCTACAATAAGATATGAAGTTTAATTATTAATTTTTTAATATAAAAAATTTATTGGATTTTAAAATATATGCATGTATTAAATTCTTTTTTATGAAGTTGAATAAAAAAATATAAATAACATAAACAAAAAACTAAAAACTGATTAATTTTATAAGACTTAATTTATTAATTTATTATTTTTTAATAAAAAATAAAATAAAAATAATAAATTATATTTTATAATTTAATTGAATATCATAACATCAAAAAGCATATATAAGAAAATTAAAATTTTGAAATAAAAAAATTAAAAACAAATTTAAAATAATTTTTGTATTTTGAATTTATATAAAATAATATTGTAGTCTATACATTTAAACATGTATGTATGTCTATATATATATATATATATATATATAAAGGTTATTTTTAATATTTTAAAATATTTTTTCGATGAATTTTTAAATATGATAATATAAAAAAATAAAATTTATGGTAATTATTACAATAAAACAAAATATATATAGATATATTGTAGTTATTTTTTAATATATCTACCATCATGTTTTGTCCTAAATATATATTGTAGAATATTTTATTTCAATTAATCAATATAAAAAATAAATTAAATATTAAATATTGAATATTAAAATTAGAATTAAAAAATTTAAAAATTATATATAAATATGTATATAATTCTATATTTATTAATGACGTGTAAAATTTCTTATATAAATATAAGCATATGCTTATTTATAAATGTGCTTATGTTTAGCTATAATATATGATTTTTTAAATCTAATATATAAATATAACTATCAAACATGAAAAATTAATTACTATTTGATTTATTTATTTATTTTCATTCATTTTATAGAATGGAATAATAATAATTATATTTTGATTTATTTAATTCTTGAAGATATTTTTTAAAAATTAAATATATAATTTTTTTATTTTAATTTTAAGTAACTAAATTTTGATTTTAATAAATAAAAAGATAGTATTTATATTGAAATAGATTTTTAGAAAACATAAATTTAATAAAATTCTAAAAAAAATTCAATCTTATACTACTTAAAGAAAGAAATTACACAAATTAAAGAAAGATATAAGATAGAAACTAAAATGATTGTTGCCAAATTAAAAATGACTATAGATTCTTGAACTAAAACATGAATATAAAAAATATATTATTAAAAATAGAGAAAACCTTACTCTTACCTCAATACATACTATCTAACTAAAGAGCTATATGGCAATACGTTATGGGTCATCCAACAAGTGTCCAATTTATAAAATAATTTTCTAACTTGCAATGCAAGTTTCTAATATTTTAATAACATGGCGAACTTGAAAAGTAAGTGGTTAACATGTGCGGCATATAGCCAAAGTTTTCAACCTACTAATCATCTATAAGCACTAAAGAAATTAAATTACATCTACAAAGCTTATAAAAGGCTTCCCTACAACATGTTATGAAATGTACTTATGTCTACTTACTTCTATGTAATTCTTCTTATCTTTATAAGTGCCAATATGTCCATAATATTATTCTTTCTTCTAAAGAAAATGTAGAATAGATATTAGTTTGTTTTCGTAAGATATTGGTAAAATAGACTAATAGCCCACACAATAGTCAGTTCAGGAGGACAGATGATTGATTTAGTTATAAAAAGCGGTTACTTACAGGATTACGGTTAGAATCTAGAAATCAGGAGTAATTATATAAGAATTGTAGAAGTTTGTTGGAGTACCAGACTGTGATAGTCATGAGCCGAGGTAAGCTTGGTGCTACTTCTTTATTTCTTTGTTTTTTTTTCTTTGTTATTGAAAAGTAATGGATAGTTTCTGAATACCGAGAAGTGAGTCTGTGGAATAAATCAAAGATTGATTTATGAGTTATTGATTATGTAATTGGAGCACTCAGTGATTGAATTATATGAGGAGTTATTAGAAGATTATGATTGTTGTTTATTGAGAGTTGTGTATGTTTTGGACAAAAGAGGTTTGTGATTACAGAAATTCTGTGAATTCAGATTGGTTTGAATGTAGTCTATTATTTCTGGTGTTGGATGGAAATTATGTGTTTTGAACGGTCTTTTGAGAGTGCAAGGTTGCACACTGTTGTTATTAGTTGATGAATGAGTATTGTTATTGAGAGAAAGCATTGTAGTATTTCTTAGTGTTTTAGTGGTTCGAAAAACAGTTAATTGTGTGATTCTAACAAGCAAAACTCATGCACTTAGTCTTTCCCTGTCTTTGCATTCTCCTATACATGTTTATTTTGAAAGAAATTGTAGAATAAGTAAAACGACAACCACATTTTGGTACTGCTACCGAGGATAGATAATAGCATTGAGTGTTAGGAATTAACTAGCGGTTTAATTAGATGGGAGATAGGAAGCAAATTCAATAGAATATAATGAAAGAGTATGGTTATTAAGAATGAGAACTTAACAGTAAAGAGAATACAACAATTGAAATAAAGAATAGAGAGATCGCAAGCAAGAAATTTGTTGTATAACAAGCAAGAAATTTGTTGCGTAACAAGCAAGAACGGAAGTTAAAAAGGAATCATTGACAAAGTTGGATTAAACCATGGTTGGATGCCTGTCGGCATATCCGAGTCTATCCAAAAGCTAATCGACATCAAATATTTCAAAAGTATGTACCATTAGAGAAATTGCCATGAACCCTCGCAGAAAATTTGGTCAATAGACCAATGTTTTTCTTGAGGCCATTAACTGCGAGTGGGAGAATCACATAAGAATTAGGTACTCCATTGGATATGTTTCCAATAACAGAAGTTTTCAATTTCGACAAAACTGGTTCAATAGAATGGCATAAATTACGAATCAATAAGGACCAATTCAGTGTATTTCAAAATCTATCGTTTTCACCCCCAATTCAATTGACTAACTTAGTAAGGGACAATAATAA